GACTGTACCCAGTGCATGTATAAACAAAACAAACAAACAAACAAACAAATAGATAAATAAATAAATAAATAAATAATTTAACTAATTTTAGGAATAATATTCAGCCTTAAAAAGGAAGGAGCTTCTGACACGTTATGACGTGGATGAATCTATGCCAAATGAAATAAATCAGTCACAAAGACACAAACAATGCACAATTCTACTTAAGAGGTATCGTGTAAGTAGTCAAAGTCAGAGATAGAAAGGAGAATGGTGGTTGCCAGGAAGGGGAGGGCGGAGGCCGGAGGGCAAAAGGGATGTAGAATTGTTCAGTGAAGTGAGAGTTTCAGTTTTGCAAGAAGAAAACGTTCTGGAAATTGGTTGATGACAGCATAAATACATTTACACTACTAAACCATATGTTTTTAAATGTTTGAAGTGGTTAATTTCATGTTATGTGTATTTTATCACAATTTAAATTTTTAAAATTTAACTAATTATATAATTAGTTTAATATACATTTAGGAAATTAATAACAACTAATAATTATGATGACTATAGTTTCCCTCCCCTGCCCTTTGAACTCAGATGGGTCATAGGGACTTTGGAATCCTGAACACACAAGTGTTCATATTTATGTCTCCTTTTTTTTTTTAAGATTTATTTATTTATTTATACAAGCACTGGGTACAGTCAGAAGCGCGGGAGGGTGAGAGAATTCACCAGAGCCAGAGCGGGGAGCAGAGCAGGCAGAAGGACCGAAGTACACTGCTGAGGGGAGCAGCGGGCGGCAGGAGAGGTCTGCGCGCCATGTGGGACCCTCCTCCAGTGGCCGGGGAGCAGCCGGGGATCGAACCGGTGCTGCAGAGGCTGCAGGCAGCTTCGCAACCCAGCGCTCAACCGCTGCACCACCAGGGAGGCCCTAAGTCTCCTCTTTTGAAACAATGTGGCCTCTAAAGTTAAATTAATACCCTTATTCTAGGCTTCCAGCCAAATCTCTACCACATATCCTGCTAACTGGACATTCATTTTGTTGAACAGTCTAGTCTATTATAAAACAAATATCTCTAGGGACAATTTGTGTATCAGTCATTCATATAAGGGATAAATGACTTCAACCATTGGGGGTTCCTCTGTATCTGAGATTAACCCAAGGAAGAGGTTTTGAATGGGCACAGGGAGGACAAAGGGGAAGAAATTAACTTCAGAACCCATTGCCTTTGGAGGGAGAAATCTATAAGGGCCATCACCATCAGGATGGGGTAAGGATAGGGAACAACAGTAAGCGAACAGCAGAGGCAGCGGGCACCCAAGGCTGGGGGAAAAGCAACATGGGGATAGGGGATGGGGACACAGGACAGAAAAGGTTATCAGAAAGCATATTACAGATATGGTGGTTTTGTCAAGTTGAACAGCATTCACTGGCACCTACCCTGGAGAAGTGGACAGTCACTCCCCTGCTATTCTAGCACTCTCCTGCCACCTGGTTGTTTGCTGCTGGGAGAAGGACCTGGAAGCCCTTTTGGAAGGGATGCTCATGATCCAGTTTCCCTGGTGGAACAGCTGGCTCTGGCTATACCACATTTGGGGTGCAATGGAAGAAATTCCTAGGAAGAGTGGAGGAGGATAAGGCACCCCTGGGTACTAGTAAGAATCAGACCACCAGTGCCGCTCTTCAGTATTTTGGTATCTGAAGGGTCCTCTAGGCAATCCCTCTCAGATACCAAGAGAGAGCTATACCTATAAATACAGATTCAGGGGAAGAGGCAGGGCATAGGTCAAGGGCCCCTAGACACACTCCCTTCTACTCTCCCACCACCCAATGTGACAGGACTTTCAACAGGAAGCATTGAGATGCTGGCAATCTTCCACTCATTAGCTAAAAATTAAGCAATGGTTACTCAATTCAGTCAAAATGGTGGGCTCAACTGTGCTTTTGGAAATTGCCATTGATACACATAAACACTCATGCACACCCAAAATGCCTTTTCTGTCTTCTGTGAGACATGAAATACTCAAACACTATATGCACTAATCCTGGTAAATGTTCTTATTAATGAAAAAAAAAAGTCCAAGAGGAACAACCCTCATGTGATAAAGCAAGATTAAAATGAAAATTAAGGAAGGGCTGCAGAAAGGCCAAGCCAGAATCACTCTTAATTACTAATAACCAGACAACTGAAGTAAATATGGGTTAGCAGGAACAAAAACTGCCTGGAACTTTGATGGGTATTGTCTCGTGAAATTTTTCCTTCCATGAGCCTTAGTTTTACAATTTAGAATCTCTATTAAACTTGGGAAGTGTTCAAAAAATTAAGTATGATGATCAAACATCTAAGTTACTAATTGGACCAAAAAAAAAAAAAAAGAGTTCAACCCAGTGAAACTTTGTTTTTCAAACATGAGTTTTGACTCACTACTATCATTTTAGGGGTGGCCACTCCAATTTCTGGCCCCTGACCTGCCATTTCTTAAAATGATCTCTTTCTCACTCTCGAGGAATTTTTCTGCTCCCTTTAGAACAGCAGAATTACCTGCACAACTTGCTGAAGATGAGGTTACCTGCACAATCCACACAGCAAAGATGCTATTGGGTTTTGGTTGCCACCCAATGTGCTGCCATAAGGAAGTATTCACACTCACTCAGTTTTCACTATAAATTACATGATTAGATGATTAGAAATTTTTACTTCAATTGTCTGATCACCTGGAATAAAAGTGAGTTGTGTGGGTGAGGTACATCTGGTTAACTCATAGTGTAATATAGTTATTAAACACTATTCCCCTATTGAAAAAAAAAAAAAGTGGGGTGGAGAAAGAGAAGTGAATTAAGTGATCAGTTGCCCCAGCTTTGGGAATTTATGGCCATGGATTATCTTTCCTAGCACTGGTCATATAAAAGTCAAAGGCTAGAAACTAAGCTATGTCAGGAAAGAGGTACATGTTTGGGTGATGCTTTCACTGTATGCACACAACCTGAATGCCAAATAAATGCCACTGGAATCACTCAGTGGAGATGTGCAGACCACAGTCAACTACTCTAGAAGCCTCTTTAAAAGAAATCACCTTGAACTTTGTCTAGCTCCCCTCCCCTCTCCCTCACAAGGCAAGCACACAAAAGAAATTCAATAAATAATCAGTCATTGATTTCCCATCTTCATGAATGGGTTTGGGAGAGAAAGAGCAAACACTTCTTAAAACATTTCACATTGTAATTATCAGTTGAGAAATTAAGCTTGTGGGGGGGGGGGAATTGCCCAGAAATGAAGGTCACCCTGATAAAGAAAAAACGTGGTGTGAGGAAACTATTACACTGAAAATGCATGCTGTTCATATTTGCCAAGGATGACATTGTCTAAAATCAAGGTTTACTAAATTGGCCTTTTTGCTTCCACCTGAAAGCAGTATAAGGAGGAGGTCTACTCTATCTTTGACAACCTATTCAAAACGTGAGGGTTTTCCCCCTTTTCTTTCATTTTTTAATCCTTTGAATATAATCCACTTCCCAAATTGCGGCGGGGGGGAGCGCTCTGGGCAGCCCTTGCTGAGATACTTAGCGGAACTTTGTTCTCCACATGGGCTATTTAGAAGCTTCTGGGTTCCTCCGGTGACTCCACCGCCTCCCCGGTTCTTCTCAAGCTGCGAACAGGAGTCCAGGTCGGGAAGACTCTCCCCGGCAGTCCGGGAGGCGCTGACCATGGTGCTGGCCTCTGAGCTTGGGGCCCGAGCGCGAAGCGCGCTAGAGGTGAGGTCCACGAGCGCGCAGGGCGCGGCCGGCAGCTGCCGTCGGAACCCCAGCCCCTCCCGAGCCCCGGGGAGCCCGCGGGCTTCCATGCGAAGCCTCCACCGAGCGCTCCGAGCTGCATCAAAAAAGGGTGGGGCACCAGGCACAGCTGCAATCGGAAACCGCCCGGGAGGCTTTGAGAAGAATGGATCTGCGGCCCACCGCCACCCACCGTGCGCCCCCCAGCCGGACATCGGCCCATCCTTTCTCCTCAGCCCCCACCTCCCAGGCCCAGGAGACGCGGGCAGTCTTTGTGGGTGCAGAGCCGCCCACCGCCCACCGCCCAGCCCGAGCCTCTCCGCACCCTACACGGAGAAGGGGTGGGTAGGGCGGGGTGCGGGTGCAGACGAGGAGAGGCAATATTCGAGGGGGGGCAGGACGGTGGACACGCTGGGATCCTCGATCTGGAAAGGCAGCGAGGGGAGGAGCGACCCCGGAGCCGGGTCCTAGGTCTCAGCCACCACTGTCCCCATACCAACCTGGTCGTAGATGTTCTGCAGGGCTTCCTTGCCTGAGGCCCGCCGGATCTCCACCTTTCGGCCCGATTCAACAGATGGCTCCCCACCAGCACGCCGGCCCTGCCGGGAGTACGGCGCCTGCGGGTCGGGGCCCAAGTGGGCGACGTCCCGCTGCTGAGCCACCACCTGCCCGGAGCCCCGGCCCACCGACAACGAGTCGAAGTCGATGGTCTTATTCTCCGAGGACCCTTCCACCGGGCAGAACATGCCACAGAATTTCTGCCGGGGCTTGGGGCTGCCTGAGCCCAGGTTTTTAAAAAAGGCAGGGACCTCTTCGTCCTCTGCAGCCTTCCCGGATTGCTTCCTCTCAGCCATGGCGCGGGGGCTCGGGGAGGGTCCTCGCTGTCGGTCCGTCCGTCCGTCTCCGAGTCCCTAAGGAGCCCTCTCTCTGCGCCCAGCGCGAGCTGCCGCTCTCTGCCGACCGCAAGGTGTACAGAAAGGAAGGAGCGCTGGCGAGCGCGCTCCCCACCCTCCCAGTCCCTCCCCCTGACCCCGCTTTCTCCCCTCCCTGCCCACGCCCCCCGGCGCCGCCGCGCGAGCCCGGGCGAGCGGCAAAGTTGGGTCTGGAAGGGCGGCCGCTGCCGCAGCGCAAAGCGAGAGGCTGCCAGAGGCCCCGCGCCGGGAGGGAGGCGCGGGCGGGGCGGGGGCGGGGCGCGGCGGCGGGAGGGGAACCCCGCGCAGGGGAGCGAGGGGGGGCCGCGCCGCCCAGAGCCGCGCGCTCCGGAAGTGAAGCGGCCAGACCACCGGCTAATGGATGCGCAGCGCGGGGCCCGCTGACCGCTCCCGGCGCCGGGGTGAGTACGGGCCAGGGCACGCGGTCGCGGACAGCCGAGAGCTCAGCCCTCGACCCTGGCGCCCCTCTGCGCCACCTGCCCGGCCCCCGCGCCGCTCCATCACCGCATTGCGGAGGTGGGCCTGGGCATGGCCTCCGGCGATTTGGGCTCCCTCTCTCTCCCCACCCCCACCCCCTGCTCAAAGGTTGAGTGGTTGGATTGGGAGAGGGGAGCTCGCTGAAGGCTCCAGGACACTCGTGGGAGGAGGGAGGGCAGGGGCGGCATTGAAGATGGGGATGGGGTGGCTCAGTCCAGGTGGGAGCCATACTAAGCGCGGGACCCCAAAGCCTCAGTCTACCCACGGCCTTTGGTGGGCTGCTGGGAACCTTCTGCTCCCAGGAGAAGGCTCTTATTCATGCACAGTTGTGGGGAAGCACACTAGGGTGGGGCGAAATGCAGAGGGGCAGAGCAAATGGGGATGGGTAAGTGTAGAGAGCGCAGCAGGTCTGCCACGGTCGGCGAGAGTGTGAGCCATTCAGTGTGTGCGGTCTGCACATTCCAGCCCGGCGCTGCAACTTACAAAGTGAGAGAAGGTGGGGGCTGCTATATTGCCCGAAGGCAGCGCGCACCGCAACTGCGCCACTGTGCCGAAAAGAGAAGGGCCCAGGGAATGTCCTGATTTGTTACCTTTCACACACACACTCCCCGTATCTCCAGCTCTTTCCCGCACCCCATGCGCCCTGCTTCATCTCTCCCCCACCCCACCCCCGCGCCCCCTGTGGCGCAGTGCGCCACGGTCGCGGGGTTTCCCAGGTTGCCAGACGCTGCATGCGTGTGGCCTAAATGCTGCTGTTTCTATAGTGGCGGGGGGGGGGGGGGGGGGGGTTGGAGGCTTTGTTTGAGCGCTTTGAATTGTATGAGGCCAAGCAGGGGAAAGGGGTGTGAGGGTCGGTTTGTAAGTACGTGTAGTCCAGTTGTGGCCACCAGCTTGGTGGGCATCCAGGGGAGCATTTTTATTGTGCCAGTAACATGGTCTCTCATACTCCTTCGTTGTTCATTCCTATTCCCCACATAGTCTCCAAGTATCAATCCCCACGTCGGTGGCTTACAGCCCCGCCCCTCTCTACAGTGACAAAATCCTGCAGAAATGATGCCCCTCTTTTGATGGTTCAAGAAGGAGGTCTGGGCATGCTCAGTAACCAGGGTGGGTTTAGGCTAAAAAGCTCTCTACTGCAGGACTGTCATGCTGTGCAGTGTGGCCAAGGATTCCATCCCATTGTCACCCCTTGCATCTGGAAGCATTAAATGTGGATACCAGATACCCATGCACCCAATTGTGATAAATAGTTTGATGAGTGGACTTAAATTTGGTGGACAACCACAGTTTGAAGATGAAGACACCAGGACAGGAGGGTGGGAGGGATAAAGAATGAAATAAACCAGTGAAAGCGTTGACAGAACCCAAGCAGGCACTCAAACTTAGCCCACGATGTGCTTCCAGGATTGCTTTATCCTACTCACTGTAGCCCTGGGAAGGAAGCGCTTTTCAGGGTAGGAAAGGAGAATTGGGGAGATGGAGGCCCTTTGCCCAAGGTCACTATCTAGTAAAATGATCCAACAACCAGTGAGGGCAGGGTGAGGCTTCCACTGAAAGTCTGGTTCCGTTCCAACCTAGCTATCTTTATTTGATTTAAAAAAATGTAAGATTTCCACCTTTTTTCCGTATTCCAAATATTTCCATTATGGCCCACTGTGTGTCAAGCACATTTCACTTGCCATCTTTTTTATTTGAAGGCTGCATTGCAGGTGGGGATTACATTTGGAGGAAGTACCATGTTTCTTTCTGGACTGTTGATGCCTTTCTACATCTCACTTTTCCTCAAAATATTAAATTGGGGAAAGAGGGAGGAACCACCATTTCTTAGGAAGGGAAAATGAGGTGTGAGTAAATCACTGGACTTGGAACCCCGGGGCTGTTGGGCCAGAGTATGATCCAGAATTTTGCCCTCCTGGGCCTTTGGAGCATGCCATGACGTTAGCACATTCCAGAAAGACTTGGTAAATACGCCTGCAGCTCCAGCTGCAGTGTGGCATCTGGAGCATATGTACCCCATTCTGGTTAGTGATGTCCAGGCCTAGGGAATAATGGTCACAGCCCCTTAACACACAATCCTCAACAGTTCCTGGACACCTTGGGAGCTTTTCACAAGCTCTCCACGGATAGTCTTCCTCTCTTTTTTTGCCCCTCACATGATCCATTCATGTTCAAATGCTGTGAAGCTTCATGTTAGTAGCTTACCATTCATAGCAAAAGAAACACCTGTTGTACTTTTGCAAAGCCCAACCAGAGTCACACAAGAGAATTAATTTATAATTTCAAGTTTAACTTATTTGGCTCTTAAATTTTAAAACTATTTATACCTATGTTGTTATTTGTACCTCTATTATTATGTCACATTAAAGTATCTTATAAAATTGTATTGTTATGCTCATGTTATTTCTACATGTTTGATTAATTTCTAACTGGATTTTTAAAACAAGGAAATGAAATGATAATATTATTTAATAGATTAAATTTTAAAAGATTGCACTTACTATTTTTAGTGAGTGCATTGACTAGCTTCATCCTTGGGTGTTACCGAGCCATAAGAATACACTGTCATTATTTATGTGTAACAGGGCAACTTGGCTTGGCTGGACCTGAGACCCCGGCACGCCATTGTATGGAGTTGGGTGACATCTTCCTTGTTAGAAGCTGAATAAGTAAACTCCTTAACTCTCAAGGGTCATTCTGGATCACATAAACAGGTATCTAGCCACATCTCCTGATTTCATTCTTCTTGTGGGAAAGATGTTGAGTCTAGCTCACAACTGGGGCTCAGCATTAATCACCAGGTATGATGAGATATGGGGCTGGGAGAACCAGATTGCAGGAGGGTTCCCAAGAGAAGTTAAAGTCACTGTAAACAAAGCAAATACAAATACAATGTGAGGCAGCAGCTCCCCCTTCCATCCTAAATAAGAGTGCAAATGCTTCCTGGGGAGGAGAGGGCTGTGTGGCAAAACTAACGGTTGTTTCACTAGGAGTCAAAGCCGCTCTGCTGTGAGACTTCTCTCCAGGAGTGCTGGGTGCCCGAGTAGAAGGTGTTTCCCCACTGACTAGAAAGAGGTGAAGCAGCTGTGACCAGACAGTGGTGAAAGTAGCTCTGGTGGTGAAAGAAGTGTCAGCACCGCCCTGGGGCTGCTGGCATCTGCAGGAGAAACAGCAGCCTTTGGACTACAGTGCCTTGGGCAGTGACGCTGCCTCACCTGAGACACTAATCACCCACTTTGGGTCAGGTCTAGAGCGGACACAGGAAGTCCTGACTGTGCCCTTGGACAAGAAAGGGTTGTTGGTCCAGAAGACTGCTTTTGGAGTAACCGGACCTAAGACTAGCTGTTCACTGGGGGGTTACAGGATTAGAAGCTCATCCAAGATATTCTAAGCCCCAAGGCTCTGCCTATCTGCACCACACTAGTTGGCTCCTGTAGAGTTAGAAAGAGTAAAAATATTCGTGCAATGGCACTGGCACTCTTGGAGGACTGGTGCAGGGTCATGAGTGTGGATGATCATAAATCCCTGATGGTTATGGGGATCCCAGTGGACTGTGATGAGGCTGAAATTCAGGAGGTCCTCCAGGAGACTTTAAAGCCTCTGGGCAGGTATAGACTGCTTGGCAAAATATTCAGGAAGCAGGAGAATGCCAATGCTGTCTTATTGGAGCTGGTGGAGGAAATGGATGTCTCAGTGATCCCCAGTGAGGTTCAGGGGAAGGGAGGCATCTGGAAAGTGATCTTTAAGACCCCAAATCAGGACACTGAATTTCTGGAAAGACTCAATCTTTTTCTAGAAAAAGAAGGTCAGACAGTTTCAAGCATGTTCCGGGCCCTTGGGCATGAGGGTGTGTCTCCAGCCACTGTGCCCTGCATGTCACCAGAGCTATTGGCCCATTTGGTGGGACAGGCAATAGCACATGCCCCGCAGCCTCTGCTACCCATGAGATATCGGAAACTGAGGGTTTTCTCAGGGAGCACTGTGCCCGCCCCCGAGGAGGAGCCCTTTGAAATCTGGCTGGAACAGGCCGTTGAGATAGTCAAAGAGTGGCCAGTAGCAGAGGCAGAAAAGAAGAGGTGGTTGATGGAGAGCCTGCGCGGCCCTGCCCTGGACCTTATGCATATAGTGCAGGCAGACAATCCAGCCATCAGTGTGGAGGAGTGTTTGGAGGCATTTAAGCAAGTGTTTGGAAGCCTGGAGAGCCGGAGGACCTCCCAGGTGAGATACTTGAAGACCTATCAGGAGGAAGGAGAGAAAGTCTCAGCCTATGTGTTACGGTTAGAGACCCTGCTGCGGAGAGCCGTGGAGAAACGGGCCATCCCTAGGAATATCGCAGATCAGGTCCGCCTGGAGCAAGTCATGGCTGGGGCTAGCCTTAGCGAAATCCTCTGGTGCAGACTTAGGGAGCTGAAGGACCAGGGACCGCCTCCCACCTTCCTTGAGTTAATGAAGGTTATCCGGGAAGAGGAGGAGGAAGAGGCCTCTTTTGAAAATGAGAATCTGGAAGAACCGGATGAGGGAGAAGGCTACAGCCACTGGGATAATGAGGCAGATGACTAAAGCCCAATGCAGGGCAGAACCCACAGCCCGTGGGCCTGGAATGTCCAGTTTGCCAGGCTCTGGCTTTGTCAGTATTTGTGTCTTTTATGTACACGATGAAAACCAAGGTATTTACTCCAGGCCTTGATTCACCTGTCTAAGAAACAGCATCTTGGACCCTACACAGTTTATTCATAAACAAAGATGAAGTTCCAAATATGAAATAGTCTAAGGGAATCTAAACCACCCATACTAAAGAGTTCCTTAAGCTCCCCCAAATAGACCAAAGCTTACCCATACCGTAGAAGAAAGAACTGATGTGAGGGGCCTTCCTGGTGGCGCAAGGGGTTAAGCACCACACTATGAAGCTGTCCGCAGCCTCTGCAGCACGAGTTCGATCCCTGGCCAGCCGGGGAGCTACCCACATGGCGCAGCAGACCTAGAACTGACTCGCCCGCTGCTCCCCTCAGCAGTGTTTTCAGTCAGTCTGCCTGTTCTGCTCCCCGCTCTTCCTCTGGTGAATCCTCTCAGCCTCCTGTACCTCTGGCCTGTACCCCAGTTCTTGTATGCATAAATAAATAAATCTTTAAAAAAAAAACTGATGTAAGAAAAAACTCTTGGTATCTATTTAAAACTAAAGTGGTTTGACTCATCAGGTGTTTTTCTCACTCAAATCAGCAAATTTTGAGTCTCTAGCAGTGTGAGGACTGTTCAAGTACAACATTCGGAAACCTATAAGCATGAGCCATGCTCTCAGGGGCCTCAGAGTCTCATTGAGGACCTGGCCTTGACATGTGAAAAGCTAAATAACTTTATGTATAAATACGTCCCCAGTGCCAGGAGACATGTCATTGCCAGCTGAGTCCAACCATCTCTGCCTGGAGATTTCTTTCTTTCCTTACTTGGGAAACACTTGTCCATCCCTTTACAGATAGACAGTTTCAGGCACTATGTTCTGGCCCCAAACCACAGACGACTCAACCTAATCCCTGCTTCAAGAGGTGCATGGTGTGGGGGACATCCTCAGGAAGGACAGATGTCTGCAGACAAGGTGGAGAGTGGGCATGTGCAGGCTGTTCGTAGGTTTAGTAAACAGATGAGAAAAGATGTTTAGTGGTGACAACAGGCAAAAAGGAGAGGACAGGAAGCCACAATTAATTGAGGGATTCCAGTGTGCCAAGTGTTCTATGTATATCTCATTTAACATGTCCAGCAACCCGGAAGGAGTACAGCTTTGCTCTTATTGAAAAAGAAAGAAGCTGTAGCTCAGAAGAGTTCAGTGATCTGTCTCCTCCGTATCAAAACACCAACCATCATTTTGACTCAAGCTAATCCACTCCATGCCACGAAACTGGTTTTCAAAGTGTGCTCTGCAGTTCTGCAGAGATTTTCCAGCAGTCCCATCTTTAAAATGAATTTTGAACTTTTAAAAACTCTGAAAAATGGCAGGTAGACTCAAATGTGTTGATGTCCAAATTTTAACACATTGGCATTCACAACAGGTTCGCTTTTGTTTCCAGATGGATTTGTTTTGTGCAGACCTTGGAAGAAAGGTTCTCTTGCCATATGTGAGCATATATCTGAACTCCTTTCAACTGTTCATAGATTAAGGAAGCTATAGCACCCTTGGGCATTTAAGTCTGGCCGGTGTGTGTCCTGTGATGTCAAGTGGGTAGTAGAACATAAATGAGCCTGATTCAATTAAAAGTTGGACAAGTCTCTCACACAGTTGACATATATTTGTAGCTTTGTGTTTACAAAAGCACGTTGCTTAACTTCTCTAAAAGTCACTTTCCTCATCAGAAAAATGGAAAGGAATAGAATAATGTTGTTGCAGGATTAAATGACTTAATGCCTTTTAAGCACTTAGCATGATGTCTAGAACATAGAAAGCCCTTCATACATGATGCTTATTTTCTGCTCAATGCATGTGCTCTATTGTTTTTACAATTGTACAGTAACAAGTAAATATGTAGTCTGTTAGTCAAGTTGTGACAACATTGCATTAGAAACTCATAGTTCTTATTGTAAGCTAAGTGCTTATTGTCTATTATCTTTGTGATAAATATTCCAGCAACTGTTGACTGTTGTTAGTAATTTGAAACTATAAGTTATTCTTTCTGATCACAGATAAATTTTAACTGAAGAATATACTGAGATTGTAAGAAAAGCATTTTGTAACAAAAAGTAACATTTGTGATCAGTTATTCAAGTTATCTTTTCGGTACTCTTCAGCCAAAGTGATACAATTGTCCAATACGCCCTAATTTCAAGTATTTTTGAATTCATGGAAATGGTCTCATATTCATTTATCAACAGTATGCAAAGTAAAATGTTGTAAATGTAAAGTTATAAAATAAATACATGCCATTAAAATTCTGAGTTTCTTCTGCTTCATGTATTGTGGTTCTGTATCAGCTACTACTTGAATCTCATTGCTAAAAACAAACAAGAAAAAAAACTTTGAGAAATAAATTTATAAAATCAAGCGAAAACCAAAAGATCTCGAACTCTTCTGGACAAGAAAACCTGAGAGCAAAATGCTAGAAAAAGAACTAAGACTTTGTCTCCGGGGAGGAGAGAGAGCTCAGTCCGTCCATCATTGATTTCCTTTTAAAATACATGGAAATGACAGATGGAAGGCAATTCCCTCAGAGACCTCCAACTCACTTAAGCAAGTAACTACAGATAAATTCACCAGCCTGTGTTCTGAACAGGGCAAAATGCACTAAAGGTAAAATGTTGCATCTCTTGGATGAAGTCATTTTTTACTGTCTAGAGGGGAAATTCCTCTTGCCTTTGGTCCTCTTAAAATTATTTCTCTTTTTCTTTTCTACAGTGCAGTGGGGAGCATTCTTCACTGGACTGTTCACAGTACCCATAGACCCAGCACAAGATAGTGTCCTGAGGGACTCCTAACACTCTCTCCCAGTCCCTTAAGCAAAAACAGCCCAGGAGATCAGTCTCACCTTATAGCCTCCAAGGCTACATACGCCCTTACTGAAGATGACTTCTCCCACATCCATCCTCAGTGCAGTACTCTCTGATCATCAGCTGTTTCTTTGCTCTCATTTCCGTGCTACACTGTGCTGGTCTTTGAGCCCTTGCAACACACTTAATGAATATTCCATGATGCCTTAAAAGTCTGGCCTACATCATCCATCTTTGCAGGATACCCTGTGCTTAGATGCACACTGGCAGTCTACTGCTCTCGGAGTCCCTTGTGTGGGAGCTCTCAGGAGATTGGGGACTGGTGTTGGCATTTCTTTGGGCTCACCATCATCACTTCACTTGCAAATGCATTTTCGCCTTCCTGGGATGTGCTCACCCACTATGCCCCACACCCAGTATGCCCCACACCCACTGTGGAGTAGTCCTGACAAGCCTTGACAGGATACTGGCAAACAGTCATATGTAGAGAGGAGCCCACTTGAGATTGAATCTGGCTGGGTGTTCTCTTAGCTAACAAGAGGAGGAAAAAGTTAATTGTTCTAAGCCATGTCCAAGGTCCTAAAAGTCAAGTCTAGGAAAGCAAAGAAGGTTAGAAGCTAGAATTTTGAAGGAGTGGAGCCTGAAATTAAACACAGCAGTGAAGTCAGAGTATCTTTTTTTAAAAGATTTATTTATTTATGCATACAAGAGCTGGGGTGCAAGCCAGAGGTGCGGGGGGTGGGGGTGAGAGGATTCACCAGAGACAGAGTGGGGAATAGAACAGGCAGGTTGACTGAAGTACACTGCTGGGAGCAGCAGGCAACACAGGAGAGGTCTACTGAGTCATGTGGGTCAGCTCCCTGGCCTGGGATTGAACTCGTGCTGCAGTAGGTGGCGGTTGCTTGATAGTCCTGGGACTTACCACCTTGCACCACCAGGGAGGCCCTCAGAGTATCTGAGGCAAGTCTTATCACATGGGTCAGGAACACTTTGGATTTGACTGGGAAAGAACTTCACTTTCTGAGAGATTCTCTCGGAGGGGTTCTGTGCCCATAGTCGGGTCCTCCCAGCTAGCCTTCCCATGGTGGCAGACCATGACTTGTCCAGACTGGCATTATTATTCACTGTTGTGCCCAAGTGGCCTCTGACATCCCAGAAGGAAATTTTCTTAAAAACTAGAGTAATTTCAGAAGGCAGTGCCAAAATCAATTCTAGCATAAGAGAAAAAGGTATAGGATTTCAAACTCTTAGGACACCAGCTGGAGCCGCCCTTTAATTGTCTGGGCTGCCTTAAGCAGCAGCTGAGACTTTTTCCCCAGTGTGCCCCTCCTCCAAGCCCCTGTGAGGGGAAGTTACCAGAGGGAGGTGCCATGGAGGCCCCCAGGGCAGGCAAGGAGGCTCACCCCACTCTGACTGTCTCAGACCGGCCCTGCTCTGCTCTCCCAAGACAGCCCCACTGGAGGCCTTTTCAGTGGTTCCACCCAACGGCTTTCCCAATGAGCTCAATTATTTAAATAAAGCTTCATTGAAACAACACAGAACTATCACAACTTTTTTTTTTTCCCAGCCTCAATGACAAACGTTGTACGTATTTAAGGACAACATGATGCTTTGATACTTGTGTGCATTGTGAAATGAGCTCCGCAATCAAAATCGTTAACATAGCTATCACCTCATCTAGTTAGAATTTCTTGTGTGTGTGTGTGTGTGTGTGTGTGTGTGTGTGTGAGAGAGAGAGAGAGAGAGAGAGAGAGAGAGAGAGAGAGAGAGAGAAACAATTCCAATCTACTCTCAGCAAAACAGTGGATCTGGCAGCTCCACCCCCTGATGTCTTGCATGGGTTGCTGGCACCTAGGGGCAGAGTGGAGCATGTAGACATTTCTCTAGGGAATTCCTGGGGCTCTGACCCCATTCTGGCTTCATCTTTTCTATGAGCCTCAGACTCAAGCCAGGAGGCCTCGCTCTGTGTGCCCACCTCTGCAGCTTTCCAGCAATGCACCCTCCATCCCAGATGCCTGAGGTTTCCTTTTCTTGGCCAGAATTAAGATTCAATAATTTATTGAGACATTTATGAAGTGACTTCATGCTTAGTACAGTCCCAATGGCCAGGACACAAAGTGGAAGAAGACAGTCTCCCAACCTCAAGGAATCCTGGTAGGGGCCTCATATACAGTAAAATGTGGAAAAGGTAGATGGGAGGAAGAAGCAAGGACACAACCACGGGTGACCCAAAGCACCCTAAACTAAACTCTCCCACCTATCTCTGGGAACTGTTGCCGCAAACAGTGGATGGCTGGGACTGTGTCCAGGAAGATGGACACAGAATACTGTGTCCAGGAAGAGAAGAGACTTTCAAACTCCCCGAGGCACGTGTCTGACACTGTCCAGTGAGGGCAGTGAGCTTGCCAACTTGCTTGCTGAAGCCTGTCCTTCTCTGCACAGACTGTGAAGTATAATTAATTGAGATGGACTTTCCAGAGCTCCAGTCTGACAAGTGAAGACTCTGCAGCCCAATGGAAGTCCTATTAGTGTGCTCGGGCTGCCGAAACAAAATGGCACAGACTGGGGGGTTTAAGCAATAGAAATGCATTGTCTCACCGTTCTGGAGGCCAGAAGATGAAGGTATCATCAGGCCTCGTTTCTCTTGAGGCCTTTCTCCTGGAACTGTACACACTGTCTACGACTATGTCCTCACATGGCCCTTTCTCTGCATGCACACATCCGCTGTCTCTGAGTACACAAATCCCTTCTTAGAAGGACGCCAGTCAGATTGTCCTCTAATGGCTTCATTTTAACTCAATCACCTTTTAATGCTCGAGCTCCAAAAAATAGTCACATTCTGAGTTCCTGGGGTTAGGGCTTCCATGGGTGAATACAGGGAGATTTGATTCAACCTAAAGCAGAAGTCAAACCTGGGTTTCTCCCTGCTTGGCACAGTGGGGACAGCAATGAAGGGCAGGGTCAGCGAACCTCGATCCTCCGAGGGAAAAGCGCTGCCAAAGCTGCCAGAGACACAAAAAAGGAAGCCAGCGCTTCCCGAGCAGGCACTGTTGCTCAGAATGTGCGAACATGGCCCTTTTCCAAAATTAGAGCACTCTCAGCTTCTGTGTTGCTCTAAATAGCGCCTGTTGATGCTGCTGTCAGCTCTTTTCAGACCTCTTCCTTGGCATCTTTTAACCCTTTAGGGCGCACCAGCAGGGCCTGGGTAGAGGGACTTTGAGTTTTGCCCTTCTGGACAGCGAGAGCCCCCTTCCAGCCTATCGGCTCACTCGTCTGGGTCTTCTCGCCTGTCTTTTCTGATCTCATTGTCAATGCTGGCCATTACTCCCAAGAAGAGAAAGGCGGGGGTCTGGCACACCGAACAAGAAATTATTTCAAAGAAAGCCTGTTGCCATGGGAACTGGTTGTCAAATGCTTTTCTGCGCGGGAGGTGTCAAGAGAGGGGCCACAGCTTTTCCTAAGCACTGGCTGCCTTTCTCTTTAATTTGCAACAAGAACAATGAATGATTGCAGTGGGGGTGGGGAGAAAGCACTCATCTGTCAGAATGTACCCTAAGCGTGAGCCAGGGGCTTAAGGTATGGCCTGTTCTAATGGAGCCTTCAAATTGCAGCCCATGGGACGAGGGCAGGGGACGTGCTAGAGACGGATGAGGAAGCAGTGAGAAGCCACCTCAGAAAGATCAGAAAATGTTCCCAGGGCTTCTACGGTGCCCTCAGCCTCTGCGAGGCTGGCCGGGATGCAGAGGAAGTCAGACCCGGCCTGTAGCTTTGCAGAGCTCAGTCTCATTGGGGAAAGGGAAACAAGACCCACAGAATGAGAGGAGGGACACAGTCGAATGCATGCTGGTGGCAGGCACTGCTGCTAGAGTGATGGCCCTGTCTGCGCTGGCAATACTGCCTAGATGGGTGCCTACTCGGAGCACTGGGTGGCTGTGCATGACTTCAGTCTTCAAGAGCTGTTCCCTTTGTTTGGGATCTCTGCTCCCATGGCAGGCATGGTGGGGCACTGCTCACAGGGTCCTTCAAGCAAGCTCTGGCCCAACCACCAGCCCGTGGTTGGTGACAGCCTCTGGCCATTCATTCCTTCAGGTCCACCTCAGTTTTGGAGTCAAAGTCGCTTTCCTTCTGGAGTGGTTGGGGCAGAGACGGAGCATGGCACAGCACGAATTCCTGGTCATTCTCTCCACCCCCCTCCAGTGGTTATTTGCTCCACAAGTCCCAGTGGGCTGGCAAGATTCAAACAGAGTTCTGAGTGCACCAGCCTGCTCCATCTAGCTTCCTGCCTTTCTTCCTATGTCTGTTTCCCTGGGGACTAAACTAGCAGAGCTAATTGTTTACCAGTTATGACTATTGGGGGTCTACAGCTTATCAAATAGGGCAGTGAAGTCGCCTTAGAGAGGTTAGTGCAGATGTGCTTATCTTTTTGACCTTCAG